GTCGGGCGATGGGGAATCAACATCGGAAATTCGTTGACATTTTTTGCCATTTGTGCGAGAATTGGAGACAACGAAAATGACTATGACAATGCCAGCCAGTGTTCTGCTCTGCTCCGCTCAGTACTTGTATTACTGCCACACACACACACTTGCAACAAGATCTTGAGACCCAGAAATGGCAGCAATCCCCGGGCAGGGGCACGGAAACGGGCAATTGTGGCACAAGTTCTAATCGATTATTTGGAATATTTGTAGCACCAGAAAGTTGTCTGGAGAAAAAAGTCTCTGCAAACTGGAAGATGAACCAAAAAATCGTTGAATGCTTCGCGCATACACCAAAAAAAAAGAGACTCCATAAAGGGATGCAAGTTTGTGTTTACATCGGGAATGATCTCTATAAGCGAATGCAATAAAAATCAGGGGAAAAAACACTCAGAAAACGCATTGAGTGTCAGCTTTCTACCCACAAGAAAATGTGCAATTAATTCAGAGTCAAATGGCCAGCTCGGTGGCGGGCAGGAACAAGTGCATTTCCACTTCGATACTGACTACCCATTAGAATCGAATCAGTTGCACTTTTTGTATGTACTTGAAACAAAGCAAGTAGAAAGAGCCTGCCTGCAAAATGCTGACTGAGGCAGAAGAACAAAGGCGAGCATTTGCCAGGAGATGTCAGCAGGTGCTGCCTGGCAGAACGGGAAGGTCCATGAGCGAGAGATATTAGAGACAGTGGACGGGAGGAGGCTCTGTACGAGTACGTGTACGTATACTCGTATATGTGGAAGTGTTTTCCAGTTGATGTAACATTACTTTGAAATCTTTTGGCCCCCGCCAAAAGGGCAGGGCAGGGCAGGGCAGGGCAGGGCAGCCAAATGAAAAGCAAAGAGAGAAGATGCTTTCCACGGGGGCCAAGCCAAACCAAAAACGAGAGAAAAACCCCACGGCCGATGGTCCGATGGTCCGATGGCCTGCTGTTGAGACAACGGATATGGATACTCGTCGGCTTAATTTCTCCAGCGTTCGTCTCTCTGTTGGTCAACTGGCCAAACAAAGTTCACTTCTTTTTTCGCCCCCTTTTCTTCTAGCGCTTGGTTGGGGCGGAGGTTTGGGTTGATGCACGCGAAACGCTTCGCTGGACAATGAACAAGCGAAATTAGAGAATGTAAACAGCGGATTTTATCCTGTTGGTTGCCTTGCCTACACCAGAAGCACCACGAGCACAGCCCATATAGGAAATATATCTAAAACACAGATATTCCCGACCCTGGCGATACCCAAAAATCTTCCACTTGAATTAGAGGCTCTCCCCTCTCTACAGCCGCTTGCTGTACAGCAGATCCTTTTACTCCACAAATAGCCACAGGGTACACCAGCAGCAGCACAGAAGGAATAGCAAACCAAAGCCCCCTCCCCAAACTGAAACGTGGACCATTTTTCTTTGTCTTTGGTTCCGTGTCTGGGACCTGTCGCCGCGTAGAGGACACCGGAGATGAGAGCACTGCACAGCGGTAGAGCGGCAGAGCGGCAGAGCGGCAGAGGGAGTGAGTTGGAGGGGGGATAACAAACAGCAACAGCGGCGCCAGTTGACACGTCTTTTGGCTTTGACAAACATTTAAACAGGCGCGTCGGACAACGTCAGCATCAGCGTCAGCGCCAAACAAGAACAATTACAAGCAATTCCCCAGCTTCCAGTTCCCACCTTAACCTTCGACTTAACCTCCAGCGGTAACGCCAGAGCAGAGAGCAGCGCGACACAACGAAAACACAAACATGCTGCTGCTGCCTGCCTGCCTGCCTGCGTGTCTGCCTCCCGGCAAGCTGATGTCATAACAGTAAATTAGCAGCGACAAGCCATGCCAAGCAGCGCAGTGCAGTGTGTGAGTGTGAGTGGGTGGAGGTGGAGGTGCAAAGCAGTGGTGGATGGATAGGTGGAAATGCAAGCAGTGTTGTATGGATGGAAGTGCAAGCAGTGCTGGATGGACAAAAATCACTGCCACGGAATTTCAGAATGGCATTTGAGAATCTTCTTTGGATGACTCCAAGCACACACAAGCTGCTTCCATTACGACAGTCGCCGCCAGATAATCTGTTCAAATTGAGCCAAACCAACACCAACCTGTCCCATACTGCGTGCGTTTAATGGCTACCAAATCATTGGTCTTACACTTCTTTGCTACCTTTCTTTTAGCATCAGAAGATCGCTGGTTCTCCGCTTGCATATTCGCAATCTAGACACTCTGAGCGTCTCTGAATGTCTTTCTTCTTCATGGTCATGGCAGAAGCGTTACAGTCTGTAACTATCTTGAAATGGTTCCCTAGGACGTACACTCGCCACTTTGCCAAAGCTCCAATAACCGCAAGCACTTCCAGTTCATAAGAATGGTACATCTCCCCACAAGGCTTTGTTTTACGACTCATGTAGAAAACTGGATGCCACAAATAATCACCTGAGTCGCGCTGCAGCTTAACAGCACCGAATCCGAATTTCGAAGCGTCCGTGTGAATCTCCGCTTCCAGCGATTGATCATAAATCTTCAAAACTGGTCCACTAATCAACGCTCCCTTTAACGCGCTACGACATAACCCAATAAATGTACCTTCCTCTTCAAAACCTGACACTTAGTCCAATGAATACGTAAGCCATTCCTCTCTGCTAGTGCTAAAACCTTTTTCAATTCCATGTATGCAACCGCATCCTCATTCTTGCTTAAATCACATTTCTCTTTGGCTCTTAGTTATCGATCATAAGCTTCACTTCAGATGCGACCTTCTGACTCGCTTCTCTCCATTTTACGAATTTTACAAAAACAAACTTTCTGGCAACGCTCCGTCTCCAGTCTGATCTCTTTTGCCCCGCGTACTCTCGGCGATGATTGCTGCTGTCCTGCTCCGTCTCGTGTTCGCGCCCCTCTGTAGAGGCAAAGCAACGGTTAATCCCCGGCATAGAGATTGAAATGGAGTGCAAATGGAAACAGCCACTTATGTTTGTGTCATTTTTGTATGTATTTAATTGTAGTGGGTATTTACAATAACTTCAAAAACTTAAACGAGAAACTGCAACACAACAAATGTCTTTGTTTGGTTGTTTAATCGTGTTGTTGATCAGCCCATCTGAAGGAATAAACTGCTGTATGATTTGACAACTCATTTGCCATAAAGTTACAGTTACTTACAGTTAGACAGTGGTTGTGCCTGCCCTCCTTGTGCTGTCTTCTTTGTGCATCTTGTCCGCTTGTGACGTCTGTTTTTGTTTATTTTTCATGTTCATGTGGAACGTGTGTGTGGGGCTCTCGCTATTCTTCAAGAAAGGGAAGAAAAAACTTTATTAGATCATGCAGATGTTCCACTTCGATGCCAAGCTCTACGCATGTTTCGAAATCGGCATTATCCAACTGAGCATCAATTTGTTTAACTCTAAGGTTAATTGCATTAATAACTTTGGTCACCGCCTCAGGGCTAACGTTGAGCGCCATTTTACACAGAATCAACCAAATGTTGTATGCTTGAAGAATTTGTTGTAAATTTTGTAATCTTTCTTTCGATGTTTACGCTCTCACTTTGACTTTTGGAATGAAGTTAAATGTGCTGGAAAGGCTTTTGCCATGCACAATATTGTCGTCGCCTGCTTGATCTGTGATTTCCTTTTGAGTTTTGGCCACGTCATTCTCTTTGGGGTTGCCACCAATATATATCACCAAATCGATAGTTTTGCAGTTAAATATTTACCGTCCCTAATCCGGTCCATGGGGAAAGTGGACAACTGGTGGCTTTTCCCATTGACAAAATGCTTTTATTCCCCATTTGTCCCAGACGATCATCAGTTTGTAATACTAGTTGCAGCCCACCCAATGCTAAATACATTTCTAAATTCCAAAGTTATTCTACTGCCTGTAAATTGTGTGTGGAGATTACTTCAAGCCGTAAAGTTGAACAGTTGAAAATGTAAAACAAAACCTTGGACTCAGGGGGGGTTGAGGCCGGCCAGTCGCCACTTGACTCTAGACAGACAGCCCAGTTTGTGTGTGGCCACGACTATATATATAGGGATATACATAGATAAACGGATGTACATATGTACATAGTATGTATGCATTTGTGTACCGGGCATGTTGGACTGCGTAAATGGGAAGGCATGGAGCCATGGCACACACACAAGCTGCAGAGGAGCAGAAGCAGAAGCAGAAGCAGACGCAGCAACGAGACGAGTCGTAGTTGGGATGCGAGTCGAGTGAATATCTATCAATGTGCTTTCGGTTATTCATCAACGAAAATGTCTAAATTATTCAAATGGAAATGTGGAAATGTCGCTTGCGTTCCCCGATTCCACCGATTCCCCCCTGATTCCCACACCCACTCCCATTCCCATTCCCATTCCCATTCAATTTCCCATCCGTTGATGTTTTGTTTCTGTTCGGTTGGACTTGGACTTGGACATGGACCGAATTGATGAAGCGGCAGCAGACCGACAAACCGTTAGACGTAAAACCAGCGACTAAAGACTGAAGCTGTGTTGGGGTTGGGGTTGGGGTTGGTGGTGGTGGGATTGGTGGGGGGTAACCGCTAACAATGGCCTTCGTCCTGTACCCGAAATGGCTTGGGTATTTTGGCCCTGTCTGTCACTGGCTTTGGGCTTTTGGGTTTTCACATATAAATGCCACGTTGGATTTATGTCTAGTCAGGGATTGCAATAGTTATGTACCTATGTATTTACATATGTATTTATGTACACATATGAGAAGTTCATTTCACTTCTGGCAATTCGCGTGACACGTTCCCTCGGCTTTGGCTACGATGGAGCTACGTAAATACATATTCACATTTGAGCTGCAAATTCTGGTATTTATTTATGTAGATATTAAAGCCTGCTTTTATTGGCTTTTCATCAGCAGTCAGTCAGTCACAAAAATAGTAAAGCCAAAAAAAAAAAAACAACCATTTCGGCCACATTCGAGTTCTAAAATTTTAGCACAATGAAAAAAAAGCTAAGCCAAAGGGGGAAAATGCCAAAATTTCGCGTATTGGATGAGGGGGATCGTTTGGTGTTGACTTCGTGGTTGAAGGAACAGAACATTGAGTTGAATCATCGCACCAGGCATGAGCTGCGCGATGCCGTTCCGGTGGCCAAAATTGTGAAGAGGATCCATCCCGAACTGGTCGATCTGCAGGCGTACACGCCCAGATGCAGCCAGAAGCTAATGCTGGACAATTGGAAGATATTCAACGACAGGGTACTGAAGAAACTCCACCTAAGTCTGTCCCATGCTGCGCTGCAGAGGCTGGCAGTGGGGCAGTCATGTGCCATCGAGTCGGTGCTCTATAAGCTGATGACAACCGAGTTCAACCTGAAGCCGGGCGAGGGAAAGCTGAATCTGGCCAGGGACAACGAACCATAGGGCCAAATATGGCTTCAAGAAATAAAGAAATCAATTAAAAATGCATTGCATATATTTTGAGAAATTCCTATTCATTATTTATGAGGTGGTGTGTGGCATGTTGGAGTTAGTTGGGTTGAGCGCGGATGCGGCGGCGGATGGCCGTTTGCTTGTAATGATTCGGTGGGACTAATTAATTTGTATAATGTGCTGACTGAGAGACGACGACTGATAAGTGGCCGTAAACACACAAAGGCATCGTAAACCATATGCCTGAACACCAACCGAAGCCAAGCTAAGCCCCTAGCCCCTCTTCGCAGAGCCTGCGGCCAATCAATTAGAGGACCTAAACACTTCAGACAGATAGAGATGAAGAGAGAGAGAGAGACTAAAAGGTAGAGGAACCCCTCGTACTGGCTGACTGGTGCGAAATTTAAAGCGTTTATAGTGCGTGTAATCAGCTCTTAACTATAATTTATAAAACTGCATTTTTCCTTGCAGTATTCTGTCCGTTTGGTTCGCAGCTTAACGCTCTTGGAGTCTTCTCTGGAGCTGCGGCCACGCATCGGCACGACGGAAGCCATAAACTTCTGTATAATTAAATAAAATAAAATTAAAAATGTTAATGAGCTACCCAGAGAGAGCGAGAGGAACTATAATCATGGGTGAGTTCCGAGTTCCAGTACGAGTTCTGGGCCCATGGGCCCATGGTCTTATGGGCCTCCAACCGTCAACGCCCCACCCCTCCCCCATCGGCTTGTAAACAATTTAGCGTGTCTCTTCATATTATATCATTAAAATTAATACGAATTTAGCGTGCCGCAAGTTATTCCCCCTCAAAGTGCGTCTGCAATTTTCCCCTTTTCCCTCCTCCTCCGCCTCTTTCTGCTGCTGCTACTGCGTGTCGCTTAACTTATGCGACAGACTGTAACTAAATTTGCTGATTGCCTTAGTCAAGCTGCAGATTAACGCAGCAATTCGGCACAGCCAAATCGAAGAAGAGCCTACAAAAAATTGAAATAATTCTAAAATATTCTTCCCATAATTTTTAATTTTAATTTTATTTACAACACAGCTTAAGGGTGGCTCTGCCTAATGCTTCTTGTTCAACGGTCACACTGGCAGAAAGTGATCGAACCTTTTGCTGTCAGAATACAAAGATTTCTCCCAATTCTCAGTCTCATTTTGCATTGTGTCGTCGTTGAAGTCGAACTAAAATTTAATTTCCAAAATAATTTAATTTCCAAAATAATATTATTTTTTTTACTCGCCCCTCCCGGTAGCTGTCTGGCGTTTTCCAGCACTAGCAAGAGTATACTCGTACATCATACGTTCTCGCTTTCGTTTTTCGTTCAACAACGTTCAATGGATTTATCCGGCGTTTCAATCGACTCCATCGGTGGTCCTCTGACCATTGGTGAAAAGAAGGACTCCATTGGTGAACGCGAGAACTCGATTGATGAAAAGAAAAACTCCATTGGTGACAAGAAGGACTCCCTTGGTGAACGGGAGAACTTCATTGGTGAAGTAGAGGACTCCATTGGTGAACGGGAGAACTCTATTGTTGACAAGAAGAACTCCCTTGGTGAACGGGAGAGCTTCATTGGTGAACGGGAGAACTCTATTGATGAAAAGGACTCGCTTGGTGAACGGGAGAGCTTCATTGGTGAACGGGAGAACTCTATTGATGAAAAGAAAAACTCCCTTGGGGACAAGAAGAACTCCCTTGGTGAACGGGAAAGCTTCATTGGTGAATGGGAGAACTCGATTGATGTAAAGAAAAACTCCCTTGGGGACAAGAAGGACTCCCCTGGTGAACGGGAGAAATTCATTGGTGACGAAGAGGACTTCATTGGTGAAGAGGAGGATACCCTTGGGGAACGGGAGAACTCCATTGATGAAAATATCTCAGTTGGTGAACGGGAGAGCTTCATTGGTGAAGAGAATAACTCCCTTGATGAACGCGAGAACTCCACTGGTGAACGGGAGAACTCCATTGATGAAAATGGCTCACGTGGTGAGTGTGAGAACTTCATTGGTGAAGAGGAGGATACCCTTGGTGAAGTGCAAGATGAAAATGACTCACTTGGTGAACTGGAGAACTTCATTGGTGAAGAGGAGGAGCCACAGCACGTTGCAGGTGTCGACGAGAGTGTGAAGAAATTGACCGAAGAATTGGCATATTTGCAGTTCGAACAGGTAAGTGCCATAAATGAGTTGGTAATTGTTTCACTAACATTATTAAGAGTCTCTTGCAGAAGCAACTAATGGAAAATGAAATGAATAAACCAAGTATTGTTTCGCTGGCCGAGGACTGGGACCTTAACCCGACAATTCGCAGAACTTTTGCGAATTTCGAAGCACTGGTCGCGGCAAACTCAATAGTGGAAACGGGCCTGAAGCGTGAGTTCTACATCAAGTCTGTAAGTTCTAAAATATCTACCAAATGGGCGGGTTGCAGCGCATTATCTTGAACTCGTTAAGAGAGCGAATCCTGTGTCGACACAGTGCCCGCGGATTATGGAGCGTGCCACATCGATACGCAACAATCTCATCATGGCTGTGCTGTTTGCAGACGTGAGAGCCGCACGTCTACAGGATCAGGTAAAGATCCCTCCTTGTCTTGTTAGGCTACAAACTCCGAAATAGAACCCCCAAAATTGTGCCACTTTCACCTCAGCTAATGAAGGCATCGGGCCTGCTGAGTCCCGAGAAGGTCTTGCAGGCAATTGGCATTCTGCCGCCTGAGCCCTCCACCAGCAGCACCTCCATGGCGAATGACCTGGCGAATGCTGTGCGCTTCAGGTGCATCAAAATGTTGACCAGCGCGCTGAAGGTCGCTTCGCTGCCCGAAGATTGTGCCGCGTGCAAGCCCGAAGAAAAGGCCGCCCAGCTAGAGGCTGCCATTTACGCGGGCTTGAACAAAACAAACAAAAAGTACAAGAAACGCATACAATCTCGTGCGGCCCAGTTGAAGGATGTGAATAATCGGGAAGTGCTCCGCAAGTACATGAGCGGCGCCATCACGGCCGAGCAGCTGGCCAAAATGACGCCCAAGGAGATGGCCAGCCACAAGAAGACCAGCAACGAAAAGAACAGCAACCCAGAAGCCGACTAAACGTGTGGAAACTGCTGCCACACAGTTTAGCAAATAGCAAATACCTCGACACATTCCATTATTACACGAGACTAGGGGGAGTGGACTTCCATGGACAAATAAATAAACAAAAATACACTGAAAAAACTGGAGCTAATATTGCGTTCGGGGAATTATTCTCTGCTCAAATGTTTCGGTTGCAGCCGCCATCGCCCGGAGCCTATTGTGGCGATGATCGGCAGTTAGATGCATCCCAGTCAGCGCTTTCAATATGCAAATAAGATGTGGCCACTGCCTCGGATCGATTGCTCCTGCTCCTGCCCCTGCCCCTGCCCCTGCCAGCTGGCGGGCATTGTTGTGTTCGGGTTTCGGCCTAACACGACACTGACAAATGTTAATCCATTAAGGCCCTGTCAATGGGCAAATCTGTCACAACAGAGCCACAGAGCGAGTGGCAGTGTGGGAGAGGTGGTGCCGGGCACAGGGTATTAGTTGTGCGACCTTAGAGCTGCCACTTAATTGGTGCAAGGTGCATTGCTCTGCATTGCCGGCCCCTGGGATTTACAGAGACAAATGCGAATGCTAAACTTGGCCAACAACAAATTGGCAATCAGGCTCGGGCCTGTGCCCACTGGGCAGGTGTTGGACAACTTAATGCGAATAAGAGCAGGGAAGTCAGGGGAGTCAGTAGTCCGCTGCTGCTGCTGCTGCTGCTGCTGCTGCGTAGAGCGCGTGCCGTGTAAAATGTTTTAAGTGCCTGCTCATTAATCGTAATCGTCTCTCTCTGGCTGTAACTTATGCCGCTCCATCTGCCAACTGCCAACTGGCATCTGCCACAGCCACAGCCACAGCCAGTGCCGCTGTTAGCGATTCTTGGCGATCCTCTGGCTGGCATGGGGGGTATTCTCTGGTCGTGCCACATATGCCAGTACGGAGTGCCGCCTTTGGCTGTCAGTTGACAGGAGGATCGGGTGCTTCACTCGTTTGTCTAATTGGGAACTGGATAAACACCAAAACCGAAACCAAAAGCCAACCTGAGGAGGAGGTGGAGGAAGTTACAACGCCTCTTTGTCATTTGTCAGAGTTCGTTTTTAGGTGTAAATATGTTAATGAGTGTGAATAATTTCCTAGAATTTGCTGCTGCACTTGCTCCATTTGCCGATGGTCTGCCAGTTGAGTCTTAATTGGAATTGCCAAGGCAGGTGCCTACCCAAGGTAGGTACAGGGGGCAATGCCGCCACATATGACGTATGCCGACGATTAATTTCGCTCTGTGCGTAATCAAGTCACAAATTTATTGAAGTTGCAATAAATGCGCCGAGCCAGACCAAGGCACCACGGAGTGCCAGTGGCAGTGGCTGTGGCAGTCTGGGAGGAGGCTGTTTGTGGCAAAGGCGGCGCTCATTAGAAAAGCTTCAAATGCTTTCGCCTGCGTGCGTTTGATTGGAGGAGGCCGTGTGGACGCTGAGACGCTGAGACGCTGAGACGCTCACGATAAAGCCTCAAAGTCAGACGACGATTCGGTGGCCAAGGTTACACAGAGACAAATGAACACGCAAACGACTGATGGCTGTTCCAGCTGATATTCAGCTCTGTGCCGCTCGTGCGCTCAGTGCATGACACTATGGACCATTTGGGAGCCGAGCCAGAGCCAGCCCCTCGACTGGCTTGCGGTTTACCCGTTCTCTCCGAGGAGGGTCTCGGCTGAGGCAGAGTCACATTTCATGCATGAATTGTGGCATAACTTTTGTTGTTCTTGTGCAGTCGAGACATCAACAACAAAACGATTTGGCTTTAAAACAAAAGCGTTGCCTTAAAGCGAATCAATCAATAATGAATAGAAAATCAAATGAGCAGCCATGGATTGTCACAGGTGGAGTGTGAACAGTGGGGGCCAGGGGAGAGCAAACATTGAAGCTTAAACAAACAAAGAAAACAAACAAAATTCAGGGAAAATCTGTCTCTCACTGCTCTTTTTCGGCTCTTTCTTGAATGCCGCCTCTTACCTGGGTCAGTGAGGCATTGCCGATGGCCTGGGGGCTTTTCTTCTCCCACCTGCCACATACCCAGATTCCCCAAGCCGGGCATTAAATTTATTACTTAACAGAAATTAAGGCACTCTTTTGCAGGCCCTACCACTGCGTACACTTCCATGAGCCCAATTTCTCATGGAGAACTCAATGGATCCTCGTGGCAGGCCTTTCAAGTATTCCATGCTACCCTGACGCAAGAGAACCTTTGTCGAAGGACGGGCGATCGGGGGGTACCGCGAAAGAAGTCGAAAAAATTAAAGCAATTGCATGCTTTGCATAATTTCTGTAAACAAAGTGGTGGCTGGTGGCTGGTGGCTTCTCGCTGGTGGTGTGGGTACTCCGCAGCTTGAGGGAGTGGGCTAGGGCTTGGGCTTGGGCTCTTCTTAAGCTGCCAAGAAACGCGCGAAAATGCGAATTAATCCCATGGCCGTCTGACTTTTTAGCCGCTTTGTTTTTAAGCTTCGCTGATTTGGATTTTGGATTTGAGCCCACACACACACCCCTCTTTCTCTTCTCTCTCTCTCTTTCTCATACAATATTCCATATGGCACAGCCGGAGGCTATCGATTTACCAAATCGGAACACCGCTAACGCCCCACGTGCCCCACCACCACCCGCGCTCTCTCTCTGTCGCTCCCTTGATTCTGTCAGTTATTCAATTTTTTGCCATTTTATCGCTGCAACATGGAAAACCTTTTAAAATCACTGGGCTGGGGGTCTGGGCTTTGGTCTGCTTGCTGCGGGCTGTGCGGGCGAGAGAGAGGAGCCTCACATATGGCATGTCAGTGGGTGGGTGGGTGTCCGCCGGTGAGTCGCCTCTTATCAATTCTTATCGGGGAAAGGAGGCTGCTGCCCAACTGTGGCAGGAGAGCATTGCAAGAGTTGCCTGCTGCCACACACACACACACACACACACTAACACACACACTAACACACACAATTGACAACTATAATTGGCTATAAAACATTTTGGAGGGCCCTTGACGGACATTTCAATAGACTGAAGAGGGAACACAAAGCCCACCGACAAAACCCAAAGGAAAACTGCAGAAAGAAAATAGTTGCACAGCAGGTGACGCGACAGATAAAGATGCAGATAAAGCTGCAGATGCAGATAACGAAAGATACAAGCGGGAAAGAGACAGCTTAGCCGAGAGAGAGAGACAGAACTCAAATTAGTAGCCGGGAAGAATCAAGTTGAAAGCATCTAAAAACCCTCTTTGGTCCTAGGTCAGGGTGACATGAACATGAAACATTTTTATGGGTATTATTCACTTTATTACTATAATTCTATAAGTATTAAAAGGCTCTACATAGAGTCACAATTTTCCCGTTCCGTTTTCAGCTCCACCCTCTGAATGCCTTTGATGCACGCGCTTTTTTTTGTGTGTTCGCTTAAACTTTTCAATTAAATGTTAATTATGTGAAGTTGACATGACCATTATGACAGGTTGTGGAAGCAACAGCAGTCCAGACTCCACCCCTGTCGGTATCTGCCGCTGCCGCTGCCTCTGGCCTGGACTCCGCCTTCGTGCCCCCCCCTCATGGACACTTGCAACTGCAAATTTAATTTAATTGCATTTCATACGCCCATTTGGCTGCCACTTTGTGGTGGTTCTTGTTGCCGTTTTGCCGTTGCTGTTGCTGTTGTCGGTGCAACACTTGACTTATTTAGGCAGAGCGGAGAAGCCTCGACAGAGACAAGGAGACAAGCCGCAGAGAAAGAAGGAGGAACAGAGAGCGAGAGAGCGAGAGAGCGACATTTTAATTGCCTTGAAAACGGGCAACCTGGAAACGCGTTCGGCCCAAATTTGGGAGCCAGGGCAGGGGATTTGCCGTTGCACTCCGCTGAGCAGAGAAAGAAAGAGACAGCGACAGAGACAGAGACTGAGACGGAGAGAGAACTAAGAAAATAAAAGGCAGATGAAAAGAAAGCAGAAAAGGAACTTCAAGTTGAGACTAAAAAGAGGAAACTCACAGGAAACAGCTGAGGGATAAAGCAAACGAAAAGTCGAAGTCGAATTAGAATAGAGCAAAGTTCAAGAGCAAAAGAACATAATAAAGTCGAAAAGTAATCAGAGAATTCGATTTAGAACTGGGAGAGCCCCGCTTGCGCTTTGCACGCATTGCCAAAACCGATTCGATCGCGGGACGTAGACAACGAAGAGCGAGCGGAGCGAGCTTTTAGCAGGTAGAAAGCTCGAGCAAGCATGCGCCTAACCTAACTGTTTGCTGCAACAAAAATGCACAAGTGTAAAGCAGGTAGTCGGTCTGCTCCGGACAACAGCACGAACTGAGCAGCTAATTTGCCCCGCTGCAAAACGCATCTGACACCGAACCGACATCGAAATCGAAACGAATCGAATCGAAATCCAAATCGAAACGAATTGAAACTATAAAAGGGGCGACAATTTAGACGTTGTCCGCGTCAGTTCCCTTTGTGCCAATGACCAATTAAAGAGGAGTACCAGGCGCTGCCTGTGGCTTCAACTGATGCACCTCCTGTCCTGTCCTGTCCTGTCCATTCCCATTCCCATTCCATTGCCAGTCCCAATTCCCATTCACATTCGCCTTTGCCTTTGGCTGTTCCTTCGTGTTTGGGGCTCCCGGCCCGGCCCGCCGTTCACATTTAACGCGATTGTCACTTGTTGCAATAAATTGAAATTGACCAACAGCGTGCAACGTGCGACGCGTATCTTGTTGCAAGTGCTGAAACCGTTTCGGTTTCGGTTTCGGTTTCGGTATAAGTCGCCTTTTTTTTTGGGGCTTGGCTTGACAATAAATGTCAACACTTTGCAGCCGCTAATTTATTTGCGCGCTCAATGCGTTTTCACCTCTCGCCAACGAAATGAGTGGCTCCACAAATGAGCGGCTTTTACCTGCGGCTACTGCAGAAATACTTGGAGAATGGCAGAAAGATCCGCAGCTGATTATCAGAACTGAAGCTGAAGAGTTTCAATTGGATTTGGCTAAGCAAAAATATGCCCAAAAATACGGGGCACATTCTTATTGAAACAAAATGTGTGAGTTCCTCTCTGTTGGGTTGCAACCGACCATCTTCGAAGCACACACACA